AAATCTCTCCCAAATCTCACTTGATAATAAAATCTCATTTCTAACTTTCCCATAAACACCAACATCATTCCATTCCTTACTTTGTTGAAAACAACTCAAAACACAAGAAGAAAACCCAAAAGAACAAGCTGATTTCATGATACAATATTCATTTTTGGAGCCTCCCTTCTTGGTCCAGAACCTTCTTAGTCCGAAAACACCTCCTGACTTCGGACCATTTCAAGAACCGAACAACCTTGCTCCGGAACCTTCTGATTTGGAACCTTCTGAATTGCTTCCAAACATTACATGCTCTAGAAGATCTCCCATACACATGACTTCTTCGCATCTCGGAAGGTTGCACTCCGGAAGCTTCACACCTCGGAAGACTGATCCACTCCGGACCTGCTGACTTTGCACCTTGACTCCGGAACATGACGACTGACTCCGGAACATGATGATCGACTCCGGAACTTGCTGATTTACTCTGGAACCCCTTGTAACTTTGGACCTACTCCAGAATATTGTCCATTTTGGACTTTTCCTTCATTTTAATAGGTTTTGACGTCGGGAATTCCCTCAAACTCGTATTTTTCATAATTTAAACCCTCTAAATTCCTTTTTATGAAAAATATGAAGCCTTAAAACACATTTACATAAAATTATAAGGATAGTGTATTATTTTTATCCTAAAGAAATCACCCACTTGGCCCACCAGCATGCAACTTGATTGGTTGAAAATGCCTTCCCAAGGTGATAAGTGCACCTTCCAATGCAAAAATCAACTTACTGTCACTTCACTTCACCCTTCCTTCATACATATACATGAATTGTAGGCATTTTTCCCAAACTCATTTCTAGTAACACAATTTCCTTCCCATATTCTCTCAATACTCAACCCATTTCCTTCCTTGCTCAAGATCAAAAATAATCCCCAGGAGACTTCCTCTTTAAGGTTTTCCTAATAAAATTGGTAAGCATTTTACTCATAACTTCTAAAATCTCTATACTAATCTTCAAAATCTTAACCACATATTCATGTGTTAATGTCCTTAGGACCATCAAATCTCTTAGTTTCTTCCAAATTGTTCTTGACTTGAACTGCTCACCCACAATCTTCCACTCATCAAGGAAAATACATAAGGTGAATTCATACCCCTACATTTTCAAGACCTTTTCTATGTTTTGAGGGGGGGGGGGGGTACAAATACCATACAAGAAAATTTATGTTAAAACAGAAATATTTAAATACGTTATTTTACCATTTTTACGTACAACATTTTCATAAAAACGTAAAGATATGAAAAATGGTTACAAGGTACGTTACATTCTTCTTATAGACACACACACACACACACACACACACACACACATATATATATATATATATATATATATATATATATATAGAGAGAGAGAGAGAGAGAACAAAACGTTCATTGGGATAATTTCATATACAAACGTTTTCATTTCAAAAATACGTACACTCTTTGAATAAATTTATGAGACATTGTATGCATCGTACCTAACTGAGGTATACACGAAAGTCCTATATTTATAACTGGAATCTCTGATACGAGAGCGTGATACTTGTGTATAGATCTATACGGGACTGATGATCCCACACCTTGACTACTAGCTACAGTCAGACCGGTAAGTTATGGGTGACAAATGTCATAAATATCTCGATGCCTGGAAAATGTCGAGGTAAGCAAGTCATGGTTAGCACGGTTATGAAAACTCACATGGGGAAATGACTGTACATTTATTTTACATGAAAACAAATTTCTTCAAATAGTTTTATACACGAATAAAACTACATATTACTACTTTATGTGTGGAAAACACTGGTACATTTTGGTCTTGGACATTTAAGACTACATCCCATTTATTAGTAAATATCAGATTTTCTAGAATAAACATTATCATCTTACAAGTGAATGGCTTACATTACATTTATCAGAAAATATCAGATTTTCTGGAAACAGCACGACATCTTTTCACAGAAGGGCATACTATTTTTGATACAAACTCTTATGAACTCACCAAGTTAATTGTTGACGCTTTTTCAAACCACTCGTATTCTTAGGGAATCAGTAAAACAGGTAACCACCAGTTTTTGACGATGGGACGCTAAGGCATCAAACAAAACATTTTAACATCATATTGTAATTGACTTCGGAAACATGTAATACTTACAATGATGTAACTTTTTCATTTAGATATATGATGGTTTTGTTTGCTTTCTTTACTATTATTCAACTGTTATGATACAATACATGAAAGTCATCCCTGTTATACGTTTCCGCCATCCTGGTTTGGGGGTGTCACAGTACTGTAGGCCTTGCTAGGCGATCCAGTTAAACTGAAGGCTCATGTGTGCAAGCATGGTATGTGTATTGTTGTGTGGGATATTTTGGGAAACTCGCTAACCTTTGACTTACAGTTACAGATTTAAATCTTTCAGGTACTTTAGAGGACCGGAGGAGGACAAATTCTTGATTATACACCTCATCAAGTGGTTGATATGTTTTTGAGAGATACGATGTTTGATACTTTGTATTTTATGATATGGTTGCGAAACAATATTTTATTGACTTATGTATTATGAGAAAAATGGTTTATTCTATTTTTAAAAATGAAAAATTTTACTATGGTTTTTCGGACGTTAAAATTTAAATATAAACACATACACGATAACATTATTTTGTGAATGTTATCTAAGAGTGTGCTCATAATTAGAGTGTGTAATTTGATTATCTCTTGCTATCATGAAACTCTTTCTCATCATTAAATGTAGAATTTTAATGTGTTCTTTATGTTATTATTGTAATATAGTTTGTTTTCATAGTTAAGGACCAAAAACTAGTATCAGATCTATTTTTCAAATCGGTCTACTCTTGCAATCAACAATGGCATCCTCTTCATCAAACATTGTCTCATTCTCATCAAACTCAATCAACAGATTCCCTCCCTTTGGTGAGAAGAACTTCACTATATGGTTGAGCAAGGCCATAATGGTTCTTGAAATAATGGACTACAACATGCTTGAAACCACTAAAGACATTCCATAGATCAATATGAATATAATTGTTGAAGAAGGCATTCCCACTAGACCTGTCATAACTCATATGAGTCAATTGCATATCAATGTTTTTTGCATGGTATTGTATCCATTTAGTTAAATTTTAAAGAATGATTTCAAAATAAAGTATCGTTGTGTCAAAACTTGTGTATCACACGAGACGTTACGTCTTACGTATTATTTTTTCTTTCTTATATGACATGCAAGACATTTTTGTTACTTACCATAGTGGAGATCAATATCGTACATAAGCCTTTTGTATGTATGTATGGTTTGTTGACTTATATGTTTCTCCTATGGCTTTTGATTGTTTGTAACCCCTTAATAAGAATATGTTTCGGTTTTTGTAACACCTTAATTGGGACTTGCATCTCCATGTTATCAAATTTTGTAAATGATATTAATTGAAACTATGATGTTCAAAGTGGAAAAGATACTGTGTTAAAATATGTTGATAGTTTATGTGATCATTGGACCCTAAAAACATTTATATTGTAGCAAAATAATACCAGACAACCTAATATATCCTACCAAGTAGTGTTTTACTCATCTATTTAAATGAAGTCTTTATAATCTATAGAAGTTTAAATATATGCAACGTCAATGTATAAACTTTTTGGATTACAAAGTAACTACTAACTAGTAGTAGGCTTCAATTGCTCTCCCTCATTAAGGTTGATGGTTTAAATCCCATTATGAACGCAAGTAAAAGTAAAGAATAATTTAGGAGTAAATTCGATATTTGATATTCAAAAATATAAAAATAAATAAATAAATAATAGTAGTCTTCAAATCATTCTAAATGATATATGTGAACTATGGTGTAATGACTATAGTTTCACATTTAAATATGTTCGTATAAGATAATTATAATTATAAGGATACAAGATCAATAAATTTATAAATTATTTGACATTAACTTGAAGTATCATTTTATCGTGTTTCCTTGATTTCATGCCAAACTTAATGTTTTATAATGATAACGTTATTATACAATATCATAGATATGATGTGATTCAGTTATGATTTTTTGGTGATGGTTTCTTCGGATTTTTCTTCCACGTCATAATAATAATACCTAATTCGCATCGAAACTTGAAATTAAGTCAAAGCAAGTGAAGGAGCGAACTTCAACTTCCGTTGACTGTTTTTGTGAGAAATTGGTCTCCAAAAAATTACATTTAGCTACCTCGAGCTTAATAAAATTTGAAAACTAATACTCCAAGGAATGAAAGGTAGTAATTTCCGAGGCATATCCTGCCTTATTCTTAAAAATTAACCTGATCTCTCTTTCCCAATAAAGCAGTTGTTTCTTTTAGTTAAAGCAGGTTTCAGTCTAATTATAGTAACGGTAAAATATATCCAGAAATAAATTTGTATTTTCTATATTTGAATAATAATAGTAATAATAATATATTTTTTGATACTTTTTTTTAAAGTCATATTACTCATCAAGTCTGCCGGAGGAATAAGTATGGTAGAAAATTTGAGATCAATGGAAGGCAATCACTTTCCACTTTCAAAATTTTCCGCCAGATTGGAATGAAGCAACGCTGTGGCAAACTTTTAAAAGATACGAAACTCTTGTGGATGTCTATATCACCAAGAAGTTGAATCGAAATAGGAAGAAATTCGGATTCGTCAGATTTATTCGAGTCCTAGACATCCTGGCATTCGAATGGCGTCTGAATGATATATGCATCGGTACACAAAAGATTAATGTCAATGTAGCAAGGTTCGATAGGAGAAACCATGGGATCCCAAGAAGCAATCCGCACAATGCACAAAAAACTCAAGGAAGTCCAACTATCGGTCCTCAGATGAACTCTAGATCCTTCGTCGATGTGGTCAAATGAGTAAACTCTAGCAATACAGACAAAGGGGGAGAGTCAAAATTGAAGTCGAAGGAACAAAACCAAAAGAGAAAACTATCAAAATGATATCCTCAGTAGAATCGAGAGAATGCATACACAACACCCTTGTGGGGGAGGTGGAATGTTTCCTGGCTTTTATGAATGTGAAAGCTTTCCAGGACGTAGAAGGGTGTCCACAAATCCAGATGCGGTACTTGGGTGGTCTGAAAATGTTGCTTGAATTTGACAATAAAAAAGACAAAGAAGATTTCCTGATCAAGGGAGTAAAGATATGGAAACCGTGGTTTAAAAGTCTTTCCTGTTGGCAAATTGAATGCAACTTTAATGAAAGGGTAGCATCTATAAAAATTCAAGGTGTCCCTCAACATGCATGGTGTGAGGAAGCTTTTAGTATAATAGCCAAAAATTGGGGAACTATTGTAATCCCTGATGAATGTGCCACGGATTCACTGAATTTGGCCTTGGGAAGGGTAGGGATAGTGACCTCTCATCCTGGCATTAATGGTACATCACCTACAATCTTTGTAGATGGTAGACCATATCTGATCAACATCATGGAAGATATTTTCGAGTCCCTCAAACTCAACCCTGTTCTTGCTTCCAACGACTTCAGTTCAAGTATGGCATGGTGGAATGATGGGGTGACGTTGCTAGTCTCGAAGAAGGAAGTCTCGTCCGATCAGAAGAAGAGTGCACATCACCAGAGCTGTCACAAGAGAACCCCCTCCGGAACCAAAGCTGGGAAGACGAAGGGACACATGTAAGCAATTCCAAACTAGTTCCCGAGGAGTCCCCTCGGTTATCCAAAACTGATGACCGTTAGATAAATAATAATATTCCTCGAAGGAATAGAAATAATATGCCTCCATATTTGGGCCATAATTCAAGTCAGGCTCCTCCATACCTGGAAGGAAATATTTTTCAGCCCAGGCACAATAAATCAATTGACCTAAATCAGTCCCCCTCTCATTCCAACCCTCATAATTCTAGCGATCTCTCTGCTGAGAGAAGGATGTACTCTACTGTGCACGCTAATATGGATCACCCTCCAAAATCCAATATGGGATCATCACTAGCCCCCTCCGTGGAGACTCGTTGTGTAAATATGGTATGCCGATGTTCCACCTTGAAAGACCCTGAACCTCAATCCACATAATCAATCTGTACTTCTACAGGCAGGGAGGTGGCTAAAACAGTTGAGGTGGTTGTGAAATTGGGATTTCAAGTCAGTAACAGAGTTGAGCAACTCAAGGGAATGATTAGTAAACCTAGAGTAACAATTTTGGAATAATGAATATTCTATCCAATAATATTCATGGGATTGGGTGTGAAATCAAACGGAGTTGGTTGAAGGAAGCTTATATTCAATATCACTCGTTTTTTGTTAGATTACTGGAAACTAATGTTGGTGATTTGTTATCATCAATGTTTTTTTAAGTGTAATGAGATTAATTTGTTGACTAAAAATGATCTTGGTAAATATTAAACAAGTAATGAAGGTGTGGAGTACACACTTGTTTAATTTTGATCAAGTATCAAAGTATACTGTCATTTAGGGGCAAAGCCCCTGAACGAATGGGGGTCCGGGGGCAACAACCCCTGGCAGGGTCCAAAGGGCAGAGCCCCTGGCTGGGGTCAAAAATCCAAATTTTGAATATTTGACCCGGTTTTGACTTCGCATTAATCCTTATCCAAAATCCGGATTTATAACAGTTTTGACTGTTGAGAAAAACTGTTATATGACAGTTTTGATAGTTTTTCATACAAGGAAAAATTATAACCAATTTTAGTCATTTTTCTGGTACTCACGAAATTACACCATCTCATTGTCTCTTTCTTTCTCTCTGATTTTCTCTGAGTCTTATCTAATTAAGGATTTGGGAGTAACACCCAAATACTTCGATTTGAAAGTGATTATCACGATTCTCGGATTTCCAAGTGCCACACAACCATATTTCTAACAACTAAGTCAACCGAGGTAAAATGATGTTTGGATAAATATATATTGGGATCCTCAAATTTCCAATGTAAAGTTGTTGATCCTCTGGGTTTATCAGGTGGAATTGCCTCCTTATGGGATCCTAATCTTTTTGAAGCAAGTGAAACAATTAAAGGTGTACCATTCTTAGCTATCAAAGGTCAGTAGTGCAAGTTGAGAAAAAAATATTGTTTTATCAATGTATATGCCCCAAATGACCCAAATAAGAAGAAGGTCCTATGGAATAATCTCTTTGATCTAATTAATGCTGATGCGGAGTGCTATTGGTTTGTTTTTGGGGATTTCAATGTAGTTCGTGCCCTAGAAGAAAGGATGGGATCGGCTAGCCCTTTCTATCACACATAGTGGCCGGTTTTTCCCAAGAATATGATCTTTATATAGTGTCACAATTAGGGTAAACCCTAATTGTCATGGCCTTCCATTTCCTTGGATCCATGGGTTGAAGTACACAATGGAGCATCCATGGAGCATCCTATGGGTTTTAGCCCAACTTGATAATCCATGAAGTCTTAGCCCACAATAAAAGTATGGATTATTTACCCAATCAACCCATATATTTAATTAGTCTTCTTTTTATTACCTAATTAATTCTAGATTGATTCTTGATCAATACTAATTAAATAATCTTATTAATATATTAGAAATTATAATATATTATTAAACCTTAAGTGTTATTTCTCTCATTTTAGTTTATCCAAATGCATGATGTCATGCAACCCAAATGGACAATGCCGAGTCGGGTCAAATACATACCAAATATAGTTATGGACTTAGACACTAATCCAACAGTTAGATCTTCCAACCAAGATATTAAGAGAAAAGCAGACTCCAAGATAGCTCCTAAAACTGATCCTAAAGAGATTACACTTTTTTTCTGCTAAGAAAAAGGTTAGTAGATATGTACCTGCCCAAAGTACATGGAAGATATAAAGAAGAACAAGGCCATGAGTATTGGAACTTTAGGTATTTTTATGATTGAACTCTATATCATGTCAACTACTAGTTCTTGGGTTCTTGATACTGGATGTAGTACTCACATTTGCTCGGATTTATAAGAACTAAAGGAAAGTAGAAGATTGAAGCATGTGGAACTAAACCTAATCAAAAGGAACAAAGGAATTGCACCAAATACAAGGATTGAGGCATACAAGAATATGCTAAATAATGATATTCATTTATTTTATTTAATTGTTGCTAGTCACCAAGTATGGCATGAAACATTATTTATTTTCATGCATTGCACAAGGATGGTTTCTGTGTTTCTTTCGATAATAATAATGTTGAAAGTTTGTTGTAAATATGATTCTTTTATTTTCGAAGCTAGTCCATGTAATGGTGTGTATGAAAGTGTTGCTTGTGTAGGCAACTCAAATTATCTATTGTTGAATATTGGTTCTTTAAATATTATATTGAACAAATCGTGCTTTTAGAGTTGTCGTCTTGAGAATATAATGAAGAAACAGATCGCCACGCTCCAAAAGGATGGGATATTGGAATAATTTGACCCTGAATCAACTGATATAATTGGGGCTTCTTTACTTGGCAAGATGATAAAATTTGCTTTCATAAGAAACTGTGAACTAGGAAAGGATTTGTTAGACCTAATCCACACAAATGTATGTGGACCATTCAACTCCGCCACATGGCATGGTGAACGATACTTTACGAATTTTACGAATGATTTTAGTAGATATTGTTATATTTACTTAGGTGCTGTTTGTTTTTTTCTGAGTCAAAATGTCTGCAGTCTGCAGACCACATCTGTAGACTTCTGCAGTAGAAGAGGTGGACCAAACGTCTGCAATCTGAAAAAACAAGACTGTTTGTTTTTTTAACATTTGCGGACTACTAAAATAAACTGAAATCTAAATAAATTGATTTTTTTAAACTTCAATGTGATTTTTTAATATATTTATGATTTTGTTATAAATAATTAACGAATCTAGATCAACTTTTATGTATTATTGTATAAAAAATAAAAATAAAAATTGTATGAATTAACGTATATATTTAATAAAAACCAACAACTTTGGTTGCAACGTTATAACTAAACATTATAATTAGTGATCAAAGAATTTGATACATAAATGGTTGTAAATAAACTTCGATTTATTCAATTAAATCCATTAAAAACGTACCGTAAATATTTTCTCGAGAAATCGACGATACTATATTAAATAATGTTTATTAAATTTGTCAAAAATTTTTAAGAATATATTATAAATTTTTTCAAATTTATATAAACAACTTCAACGACTATTATTGTAATAAATCTTTATTTATAAATTTGTCAAAAATATCATGTTTGTATCGTTGAACGTTTTTTTTTTAAGTTTTGTAATTTTTTTTCAAATTGTTTATCATTAATAAAATTCGAAAAATTATAAATTAAAAAAAACCTTATATATATATATATATGTATATATATATATATATGTGTGTGTGTGTGTGTGTATGTGTATATATATATATATATATATATATGTGTGTGTGTGTGTGTGTGTGTGTGTTTAGGCTAGAAGATGTTAGAAGACTTTGGTCCACATCTGCACCAAGAAGAGGGCGTACAAACACTTTTAGGTCAGCAGTTTAAAAAAAAAACACTTTGCGAAGGCTAATGTCTGCGTGGCGCAGACAGAAGAGGCCAAGCAGATCTGCAGATAAAAAACAAACACTACCTTAATAAAGCATAAGTCAGAAATGTTTGAGGTTTTCAAAGGATTTCAAAAGGAAGTTGAAAACCCATTGGGCAAAATGATCAAGATGTGCTGATTCTATAGAGGTTGAGAATACTTGAGTCTTGAATTTATCGTTCATCTAATCGAATTTGGGATTGTCTCACAATTTTCTCCTCCCAAAATTCCATAACATAATGGTGTTTTCAAAAGAAGAAATTGAATGTTATTGGATATGTTTTGATCCAAGATGACTCGAGCTATGCTTCCTATAAGTTTCCGGGGTTACACCCTAGAAACAACCGCTAATATATTAGATATCCTACCAACTATGAACATCACTAAAACACCATCCCAAATGTGGAATGCAAAACCTCCAGATCTTACACATTTGAAAATCTAGAGTTACAAAGTTTTTGTTTGTCGCTAGGTGAGCGATAAACTAGAACCTGGATCAGGAAAGTGTTACTTCGTGGGCTATCGTCAAAAGTATCTTGTATATCTATTCTACAGTGCTTCTAAGAACAAAGTGTTTGTATCTCGAAGGGGATTCTTTCTTGAGAGGGAGATCATGTAAAAAGAAGCTAGTGGGGAGCTTAATTGATATAGAAGAAATTCTAGAATCAAATGAAAAACCTGTAATTGACATTACTACTCAACCCGATGTAGATCAACTGGTTGAGGAAACTAGCATAATTCCAACTCCTTATCTCCTCAGATCTAATAAAGTTATTTTTCTTATTGAATTCAACGGTTTCCACATTGAAATATTAGGAGATGTACAAATCAGTGATCGTACACTGCTAGTATGGATGGACTATATAACTATAGGGAAGTGATGGTTGGCTTTGAAGCTGCTAAATGGAAGGAGAGTATTGAAACTAAAATTCAATCCTTGTATGATAACCAAGTTCGAAATTTGGTTCATACTACGCATGGCCTTAAAACCGTTGGTTATAAGGATCTTCAAGAAGAAAAATGTTATGGATGAGAATGTGCACACGTTTAAATCATGACTGGTTGCAAAGGGTTATACTCAAACTCAAGGAATTTATTATGAGGAAAACTTCTCACCAGTAGCTTAAGTTAAATATATTAGAATATTACTTGTTATCGCTGCTATCTTTGATTATGAAATGTGGAAAATATATGTGAAGACTGATGGATTTTGATTATTACATCAATCCTATGGTGAACATGTAACCCTAAAGCTTTGGATCTTGGTTTTTCACTAATTGTACATGCAATAATAATCTTCCAAAGCTATAACCCTAATCTAGCATGCATAAATCGGAATTTATATCTAAAACAAAGTTAGAATCTTACCTTTCAATTGTAGCTAGCTTGATCTTCAACCTTTGAGAACTTAGCACCTCAAATGTGATGCTTCTAATAGATCACAAATACCACAAGCAATGGAAGAATATTATAGACAGAGGGAGAGGCACAAAATCGACTCAAGATCTTTCTAAGGTTTCTTGT